CCCCCCCCCCCCCCCCCCTGTGCCTTTTGACGTAAATACCTGTGTTTGGCCCTTCACCTGGGATCACGCACCGCACACGGGGGTCGCGAAAACGCGGACGAAACATAGACCATGACGCACGCCGATCGGACGGCCCTTTTGATCGGGGCGTGCGAGTGGGGGGACCTCGAGGCCCTCCAGCGCCTGCTTGAGCTTGGTGAGATGGTGCTTGCTGCTGTCGCATGCTGTTGTCGTTGTTGTCGTTGGCGTTGCAAAAAATGATCTAAAAAAGCGTTTTTCGGCGATGTTAGGTCTGGGTAAGATCTGCAACGCCTTCCGACGGTGTTTCGCTGTGTGCCAGCTGCTACATGGAGCACAAGCGGCGCCAACGCACATACGCAATACCCTTTGCTACCCGGCCGACCAAAAGGTTCCCTTTCTGCTCCTGTTTCTGTCTCTTCTTTGCGGGTCATCGTCGCCACAGGGGCGTCACCGCTGGACCTCTACTCGCCCTCAGTGGAAGGGTCCCGCTGTGTCTTCTGCCAGTTCTTCCTCTTCTTGCTCCAGGTGTTCGCGAGCACGGCCCTGCTGTGTTCCAAGCTTCCAGTTTTCTTTTGATGGGTGCTTGTGTACGTTTGTTTTATGATGGGGTGTTGGTGGTTTCGTGCTTGTGTACCGTTGTTTGATGAGGTATTGGTGGTTTCGTGCTTGCGTACCTACTCAATGTAGGTTAGAGCAGGGACTGCGGTCTCGGCTTGCGCGGGATGACTCAATCGCACGGTGACCGCCAACTGAACCCCCTGCCCCCCTGCTGCGCCCCCCCCCTCGCTGGCGAACAGGTCGGAGCAGGGCTACGGTCTCGGCTTGCGATGGATGACTCGCTCCACGACCGTGCACTCTCCATGCTGATCCAGCCCAGCCTGGAGAAAAACCGGCGGTTCTTGTCGGGGCCTCAGCTCCGCGACCAAGACGAAGGGAGAGGGTTCTGCCTCGTGCACCACGCGGCGGCCTTCGGCAACGCGAACAAGGTGCCAGCCACACACACACACACGCGCGCGTTCCGCCCCCTGCTGTTCCTGTTGTCTCCCGGACAAACGTGTTTTGCATGCTTTTACCATCTCGCAAAAGGTGCATGCAGAACGCGCCACCACTTCAAAGCTTCGCAGTTAATTGAGCCTAGAAAATCTAAGCGCTTGGCCAGAAGAACAGGTGCTCAGTGTGCTGTAGAAGCCTACATTAACACCTGTATAGTCACACTAAAACTTATATAGTTACACTAAGACCTACGTAGTGGCCGTGGGGTAGGTACCCCATAAACAACAAAAGTAACGAGTCTCCGCTTTAATGAGAGGCTCACAGGTGGTGGCGTGTTCTGAGTACATACATGCATGGGTACTAAGATGAGAGGCGTGGCTGCACGCCGTGAGCATCGAGGGTGCGCAGGAAATACGTAATTGTTACCGGAACGTGGTATGTGCGTCATACGCGGTCCTGCTCGGTGTTTCCCGTGTACAGCGCGAAGCACGACCTGAATATGTCCTTCCGAAAAGATCACGGCCGAGGGGTATAGATCGTTAGTATAGGTGTCGGCGTTGCAAGTACATGACACAGCCCATCAGGCGGCACACGCCATCATGAGTGACCGGAACAAAAACACTGGCAGGAACAACGGCGCGACCAACAGTCACAATCGCAGCACCAAACCGATCGTACCAGCAGCAGCACCACCACCATAGACAGCAACGGCAAATACCCCAATGCCCATCGCCAACTGGAGAGTTTGTGTTCGCCGTGGCAGGTGGAGTTCCTGTTGCAAAGAGGCGTTGACCCGGACGTGAGAGCTCGAGGGGGCGACGAAACGGCACTGATGGTGGCCGCGAGGAGGGGGCAGAGGCCACACCTGGAGGTCGCTGCGGCGCTGATCAAGGCCGGGGCTGACAAGCTCGCTCGAGACGTGAGAGCTACCGCCTTCTGTAGCATCTTCCCCCGCCGCTCAGTCGTCTACGCACAAGCAATGGGCCTACGTAGGAGCTCCTTGGCTAAGAGTCAGAGACCCCTGTGTCCCTCTTCATGCCTGTACCCTTAGCAAGCCGCATCAACAGAAGGGGCGAGAGAATCCGCCCTTGCTTGCATTCTCTCCAGCTTTCTTCGTCATTCTTTTTTCTTTGGTCGTCCATCAGCAGTAACCTCCTCCCCCCCTCCCCCCCCAAAGTGGGCTCCAGTTGTCGCTGCCTTTCTCTCCCTGCCCCAGTGATAAACACCTAGGAGCAGTGCCTGCCCCATGTCGATTCCGAGTTATTGTGTTCCCCGCTATTCCCCGTGATATTCCTAGAGGCCAGTACTCCTTGGTGGTTCCTGCGTGGCGCTTTCTCGTTTGTGTTGCCTACAGTAGTAGATATTTCCAGTTTTCTCTTGAACCATACCGTGACACTTGAGCAAGCTCCCTTTCTTAGCACCACTGTCGCTCTCGGTCACCTTGGGGTCACCGAGTCTCACCTCAGACCAAACACCTCTCCTCTCCCCCGCCCCGCTCCCCCCTCCACCCCCCCACCCCCGAGCATACCCTTCCGACTCACGAACGGCAAGACATCAACGTTACGAAAAAGCCGTTGACTGCTTATGTTGTACAGATTATTGAGGACGTCCGTTGCTAAAACGTTGTTATACTGCGGGGGGTCGCGCAAGCACGCTCCCCTCCCAGCGCGAACGCAACACATTTTCGCACCCTGTTTGAGTACCCCCCCCCCCC